ATAATAATTATGAGAAATGCTCTAAAAATCTTGCTCTTTTCCGTATTCTGTACAAAATTTTAGTACGATTCTTGGTTCTGAAAAAAAAAAAATCAGCGTTTAGCTTTCTTCAATGCCAATATTGGCCACTTTCTCTCCCTTTGTTGCTACCTCATCCCCGTACTGACTTAAAGAGTAACCCAATTTCCATGTAATTCGGTCTACCTACCTTTCTCTCCAGTGCCAACTTAAGGTGGAATGGACTATAGTGTAATATAGCTGAAATATCATCCTTAAATATTCCACTTTGAGTGGACAAGATTTTTTAAAAGTTGAAGAAACAAAATTCCCAGTTTGTAAAGCAATTCCCTGCATTTTTCCTGTTATTTTAGGTGACTTCAAAACTTCCCTGCGGAATGGCAACTCAGCTAAGAATGAAACAAATTAGTTACCTTCACAATGATGTCTTCATAATCTGCTTTTTGCTGAGTCGTTTTCTCACTCATCAGCTTTTCCAAATGAGCTGAAAACATTTAATCATCACAACAAATTAAATTTTAACACAAAAACATTTCATAAAAAGCACTTCAAATGATTATGAAAGCGTCCGTCTGGTTTCATTAACCTGCGTGGGGAGAGTTGTTATAGACAATGTCAACCTTTTTCTATTAAAAAGGTACCCAGACATAGAATCTAGTTAAACATGCCTTATATACTAGTGAATTGGAATTTTACTTCTGTAGCCGTAGAGAAACTACTATCTGATTCTCGGTTTTGTGAAAAATGTTTATTTTTTGACACACACATGATTGTCCATAGCAGAATGGTGGCAACACTGTCGTAGAATGTTACTGAGTTCCAGCAGAAAGATTTTTCCTTCGGAAAGTAAAAAATTTTGGTTTTCTTATTTGCAAAAATTTTTGTTCGATTTTTTAATTTTTTTTCCGGCAAGTTATTATTGCCATAAATTTCCTCATAGTTTTTAAAATACAATATTATTTAATACAACAAAAGAATCTTGAAATGAAAACCAACATTTGGAACCCATTTTTGAAGAGTCAAATTTGTGTGATTTTGCAGAGAATCAGGGGTCTGTTTAGAAAAAATTTGGGTCCGTTAGCGGACCCTTCACAAAATAATTTCTCTTTTAATTGGACTCTTCACAAATTTGTTTATCTTAATTATTGTTTTGTTAATCAAGTAAACTCTTCCAGGTAAAAAAAAAAAAGAAAAATGGTTAAAAATGAAATAAGTTTTCCAAGTTTCCTTAAGTTTAAACTCCAAATGTAATATTCTAAGAAAATAATTCTACTTTTACAAACAGTGTGTGCACATTCTTATTGATATTAAATGATAATTTTTTTGTAAATAAAAAATTTTTCAATTTATATTTATTCATAAAACTAATGAATAGATTATTAAGTAAATAAAAATTAATTTTTGGCAATTTTTTAAATAAAATATTATAAATATAAGAATTGTTTAAGTTTACTTAATGCGTAATACATTAAAAATGATACAGGTATAGGACAAAATAATAGGAATACCTGTGCATAGTGGTACTATGTACAGGTGTTCCTATTATTTTGTCCTATACCTGTACATTTCTAAGTGGTGTTATTTGTTGAGCAGTATAGGCTAAATACAAAATATATGTATGTTGCATCTAATTTAATAGCAGCAATTGTTGAGCATAATCTTGTATCTATTACAATTTAAAAACTTCTTTAAAAGGTTTTTAGCAATTTTTGAAACAACAGGACCCTATATGCACAAAAGCAGGACCCTGGCTGAAAGAATGTGACTTAACGCTTATTTTATATTCACAAATTATGAGTAGTTTTTTCACATTTTTACAAAAATAGGACCTTTCACAAAATGTCTAGACAGACCCCTGATAATATTAAAACAAAATAAAAATGACATATTCAATTTGAAAAATTAATTTTTTCCGAAAAGTTCATTAAATCAATAACATGTATATTCTGTTACTTTAAATTAGTAACATGTATGTTTGTTATTATTTAAAGCATCTTGCAGAAAGATATTAGTATGAGAGAGTTTTGATGCAGATAGCTCGAGTATATTTTGCCAAAGTTTGTGACTGCAAAAAGGAAAAATAATTTAAAATTTTCAAAAACTGAAATTTTTTTCTAGATAGTTTTGCACTCAAATGAAACAATTTTTTTCTATTATTAATTATTTTTATTTTACTTATCTATTATTTAATATATTTTAAATAAAAAAATATTAATTAATAGATTACTAAAATTTTAACGCACGAAAATAGCATTCGTAAAACTAATTGATACAGAAAAGAAATTTTTTTTTTTAAGTATCAAATCATTTTTTTATATTGACATACAAACACAGCTGCCAACACGGATAGAAAAAATACCAGTAGATTTTTACAAAATAATAATATAAACTTCACGATATATTTTGCAAAACATACTAAATATTTTACACATGGGGAATTTTAGGTATTTTTATAGTCAACAGAATAGACAAAAAAAACTGCCATAAATTCCAGTTATGATTTCACATTAAATGATCTTGAAATTTTATGTATCATGCTTTTCCTAATTTTAAATAGTAAAAGGCATTTAATTCTTCAAAGTTAATTGAATTTTATAAGTTCGCTTTGTTATGCATTAGTGAAACTTACTTAAATAGCAATAATCTGCACAAAAATTTTATTTCAATAGAGATTTTTTAAGAAAGTGTAAAAAAAAAAAAAAACAGGAAAATTTTACTAAACCGGGAGAAACTGGCAAAATCAAGTAGAGTTGGCAGCTATGGATACTAACATGTAGATTCTAATATTGTTGGCATTTAAAAGAGAAAGATCAAGTATACTACACTAATTAAATAATAATTTTTTCATAGCATATCAGAATTAGTTACAAATTCTTCACTCACATCATACTATTTAAAATCAATCAAAAACTAGCTTTATCACATCATAAATTTTATAAATTTAAAAAAAAATAAAGTCCACTCTTAAAGCTAATCACCTTATAAAGTGAACATACATCAAGAACATTTAAATATTTTAGAATTTCATCTTACATAATTAAATTCACAATTGTCATAACATTTTAGTAGTTTGGCAATAAAGCTGGTCATTTCAGAGCTTGTCTTCATTCTATTTCTTGTTTAAAAATTAAACTTTTATTTGTCACAACAATATATCATTAAAATTGTGACATAATTTTATAAACTGCCGACCCAATTCTGGGCTTCTGACGACTAATGTTCGATTCTTTGTCATTTTGAACCTAATCCAGAAGACAAGGTAGCTTCTGGAGGGTACCCCCAAAGGTATGATTTGTTTTGAGAACACAGAGTATTTTGCGACTCGACAGAATTAATGAGCATCAGTCACCATTTACTACACGGGGAGTCTTCGATGGACGGAAATCAATCTAATGATCTCTCGGACAGGGGCCCAGTGCCCTACCAGCAAGGATATCTCTTGTGACATAATTTGAATAAAAGGGGTTTGAGCAGTTTACGACAACACGGTTTAAACTGCAGATTGAGCTGTGATGGCTCAGGGGATAGAGAGTTCGCCCTCTAAAGAGGGGAACCCGGTTCGAATCCCATCGTCGGCCGGTCGATATGCATTCCGCACCCGGCTTGCACTGACCATAGTGCTGACGTGAGATATCCTCAGTGGTAGACAGATCACGGGTGAGAGTCCCCTTGCAGTCAGGTTAACTGTGGGAGGTTCTCATTGTCTCCACATAATGTAAATGTGGGTTAATTCCATCAAAAAGCCCTACACGAGGGTATATTTTCCCCAATACTCGATCCCGGAGTTCCCTCGTCTTCTGGATTAGGTTCAAAATGACGAGGAATTGAACATCGTAAACTAGAAAATCGGTTATAAAATAAAGCAGAACCCTAGGGATGAACAGTCATCCTAAAAATGCATATATTAAAAGAAATTACCTTTTATAAGGTGGTCTAATCTGAAACATTCTCCATTTTTTAAATCTTTCACCATTAAATCTGCAAAACGATCCACATGACCAGACGCTCTAAGGGAATAAAGATAAATTATTGCAATACTTCATGTTTTGACCCATCATTAAAAGCACTCAAAAAATATATATAAGCACATCGGTGACTGACACAGGTCGATCCTCGGGCAAGGGTGATTCATCCCTTCAGTGGGTCGATAAATGAGTACCAAGCATGCTTGGGAACTAAACACTGGGGGTTCGGCTGACCACCTGACCGGAACATCTGCTCCTGCACCCCAGAGCCCAAGGTCAAGAAAACTGAGATGGCCACAGTAGGCCTTGGCCCTCAAGGGCTGTCGCGCCGCTGAGTTTAGTTTACTATATACATTGATAAAAAGCAAAATAATTTTTTAAGACTTTAGATAATCATGAGAAAATAACTAGTTTCTGACAAAGAACTCTTCTCTTGATTATATTAGCCATTATAAAACAATCGAGAGATTTTTCGGTTCAATATTGCTGGAGAATGAAGCCTAAAATTGAGAATAGCTTGCAAAAGGCACCAGATTTGCACACGCGGACTTGCAAGTATTTCATCAAACATGTAAAATAATTGGCCCTTCCATATGCAATGGACCGACAGTAATCTGAAATGCATTGTAGTTGAATGAATTGTGAAAGCCTTGAACAATGTGAAAAGCATTCTTTCGCGCAATATGTGGCGAAAATCGACATGGTAACGAAAAAAATTTCATTTCTGAAAAGGGAAAATTAAGCCATTTTTAAAAACACTCAATGAAAAAAGTACCTTTAAAAACTTTCAAATAAATAAAATAAAATCAAATGTTTTTAAAAACGCTACGCTCCATGTATATTCCTGAGAAACAATAAGAATTCCCATGAAACCAGCATGGAAATGTATAGTTGGAACCATCATGGATTGTTGTTGGTCCATGAGAGTCAAACTTTTCTATGATGGTCAATCATCATAGTATTGAAGTGGGAAGTTTGTGGGCATCAGGGATCGTAAATATCATGATATTTTCGAAAATATCAAAAATATCCGATATTTTGATATATATCCGATATTTTGATATGTATCCGATATTTTGATATATATTCAAATTTTTGTTTTATATTTAGTATCTTCAATATAAATTAACTTTTTTGTTAGGAATTGTTTTGCAGACATTATATACACATTTAAAACATAAAATAATTCATTTTATATAAATTCTAAATTCCTAATGTTAATTGTAATTAATAAATTTATAATTTTTATTAAATAAAACATTAGAAATTTTTTTTAAATAAAAAAGGTTCTCTGAAACGAAATCTTTTGTAATCACCAAAATACAAAACATTTTTATTTTACTTTTACTAAGTTTTAAAACACATTTTTTCTTTATTTCTTGTTAAAATATTTGAACATAAAAGTAAGTTTTTCTGCCTTTTCGACTGAAATCTATTCTGACCTAATCTATTCCACAACTCGGACTGAATAAATCCAAAGCTAGAGAATATTCTCTCTAACCCAGTTGTGGAAGGAGAGGCAGTTAGTTGTTCAAGAAGATTTGTTATTCTGACTTTTAATGGTTCCTCTAACCTGATAGTTTCTCACCAAACTGTGGGTTCCACATTGAGAAAGTCATCTTCGAACTTGAAGCCTGGAAAGGGGCGGCTCTTTTTGACCAAAAAATTCATAGCCATAGGTAAAATATTTTTGCCAACAGAAAGTAGGAAATTAAAAGCTCTTTGTGTTTGCTCATCATTTAGTTTTTTTCCACAATATCTATGGCATATTAGCAGCTAAATGAGCAGGGTTTAATGCTGTTACTTCTCTTTCTGAGAACTTTTTCATCACGTCTTTTTTTCCACATGCTTCTAATTTCTCCCTCAGTTTGCACCAGATTTCAACGCATTGTGCTATTGTGCATTTATTTGCTTAAACTGCATCTGAAGCATTTGCAATCGGTTCTAAAATGCTTATACAATCAGAGTAATTTACCATTAAATCATTTACTAAATTATCTACCTTGACCACTTACTCATCATAGAGTAAATGAGAACAGGTTCAGTCTATAATTAGAATGAATTTTTAGTAGGGGGTAAGTGGGAGCAAGATTTTTTACAGGAAGTAAAGATAGTGTGAATGGTAGCATGAGTTTGTGTAGTGATTAAAAGAAAGCTTGAAATAACGTGGGGGATATTTTAGAAATTTTGCTGAAAATATCGAAAATATCATGATATTTATTTCAAAATAAATATCGGATATATATCTTGATATATATCATGATATATATCCATTGATATATATCAACGAACCCTGGTGGGCATACCATAAACATATAATGGAAAATGTTGATGATCACGCATCGCACTGAAACCAACATATACCATCAAAATATTTTGATGGGACCATCAAGAATTTTGATTTGGGAACTGACCCACTCTTCGAACGAGGCGAAAATAAAATAAAAAAAGATAACCAATAAATCAGCACTCAACAACATTGCAAAACTTTGCACTAAACAGAGAGACAATACCAAGATTTTTGATTTATTACCCTTTCAGGTGGCTTTACGCTATTGATGCCATCAAAAATAAAGATTAACTGTATCATTTGGCATAATGCTCTAGGACAGCGATTTCCAACCTCTGTGCCATGGTACTTTTGCGTGTCGTCAACTTTTAGAAATGATACAGTAAAAATTATAATGCTTTTTTTTATTACGAGTAAAGTTTAAATTAAAGAAAAGTATATATATACAGGGATGATTGTAAGCCCAACTTCTAGACTTTGGATTTCCAGAAACTTCCAGAATGAGGTTATACCGGAGCACAATCATCTCTGTATATATAATATTACATAAATATATATACTTTTTTAAATTTCCCCCCACTTTAACAGCGTGAGCATCTATTTTGGCGATAGTCCTGTCTCTGACAATCTTAAAATAAGTAGAAAATTTAATAACTATTAAAATTATTAATTAACAAAAGCAAGCTAAATATTAACTTACAAAAGGAAATAAAAGCTAACCATTAATGATTATTAATTGCATAACTTATTTTTAATGGTTAGCTTTTCCTTTTGTAAGTTAATATTTAGCTTGCTCTTGTTAATTAATAATTTTAATAGTTATTAAATTTCCTACTTATTTTAAGATTGTCAGAGACAGCACTATCACCAAAATAGATGCTCACGCTGTTAAAGTGGGGGGAAGTTATAAAAAGTATATGCATATATACGTAGGTTTCAATACCATAGTGTAACAACTGCGAAAATTGCGTCATCCACCATCTTGTAATATTAAAAGAAGTTGCATCATCCTCTTGACATTGAGAGGCGCCAGCCAGACCAGAAGGGGAAGTCCCGAAGGGAAACTCCCGAATTTATAATTAACTCTTACTTTATACCATAGAACAATCTAATTCTTAGTCACATGCATTCCGGAGACCACTGCGAGAAGGCAGCTCTCACGAGACATGTGAATAATGCTAACTGCTATATCCTTCTACGAATCTTTTTATTTCTATTAAATTGTTATGTTTGCTAAATTATCGTCATCATTTACTCCTCTGCTGCACTATCTCCCACATATATATACAGTGACACCCTGATTCAGTGACGTTTTCTGTCGGACTAGCGATAAAAAACGCTCGAAGCGGAATAACGTAAAATCGGGGTTAAGAAAAATCTATGCATATTTTTAAAAATTGACACCTACCAGTTCAATTAATGGAAAAAATGAGTAATCTTTACTTGCTTTTCGTTTCTAGCTACAATTTCGTATACAGCTAGTTCAATACTAACAATTTTTTGCAAATTTGCTTCTTGATTTACATTTGCAAGTAAAAATTGCTTTAGAGTTTTTATGCTTTGTATCGCTTGATGAGCTGTTGGCACGTCTTCTGTTATTTCATCGTCATCAGCACTATTGTCGGAATCAGGCATTAAATCACTTATGAAAGGGATTTCTGAAGTAATGATATCTGTGTCACAGTCGATGTATGCATCATCGACTTCCGGGAGGTCCTCAACTTCAGCACGCTACCTTCTTCTTCTTTCAAAACAACAGCGCTCTCCTCCTCCGATATTGAAAATCCTGCTTTATTGAATCCAGTTATAATGCACTTTCGGTTGACACTGTCCCAATTTTCACGGATCAGCAGAAAATGACGTAAGAAGCGGGATAGCGTACGAAACGGACAATGTAAAATTGGGGTTCCACTGTATATATTTATATAATATTATATATACAGAGATGATTGTGCTCTGGAATAACCGCGTTGGAAAAAAATATAAGCACTTACATTTAGTGAATTAAAAAATTTGTATATAAATCTTAATCTAACAAAGATTTTTTAAAACCATTATTTATAACTACTTTAACTATTTTATTTTATAACCGTAAATGAACAGCCAGCCTACTTCTAATGTTTAACTCCATGAAGTCTTGTCATTTGGAACCTAATACGAAGACAAGGAAACTGCTGGATTGAATGAACTGCTGGATCATTGGGAAAAATTTGCCTTTGTGGAAGACTTTTTTATGGAACTAACCTGTATTTGAGTTACATAAAGAATAAAAACCACAAAAGCATGACGACAAGAGGACTCCAACCCGGGCTCCGTCTTTCACTAAGAATATTTTAGATCAGCACTGTGGTGGGTAGGACTGGGCGATATTAGAAATTATATATCGTGATGCATCGTCAGTTTTGCATCGCGATATAGCATTTTTGAATTTCATTTACTTGTAAGGCACAGAAAGTCAGATTTCTATCAAAACTTCGTACTCAGATTGATTTAAATCAATTTATAAATTTGAAGATATATATGTTTTGCTTAAGAAAGATATTAAATAAATTGACTACAATGAATATTAAATAATGACCGAAAAACAAAGTAAGATTTAATTCCTTAAAAATAAAAAAATTGTGATATTCGATAATATATTTAGCTAATTAACAAATAATATGAAAAGAATATTTTTAAAAAAAAATTATTATACTCTCTAATAAAACAAAGTGCTAAATGATATGAATAAAATACGCAAACCTTTCAATTTTTTTTGCATAAACAAAGTTGATTGACTTATGTCCAAATCCAAATGACAAAAATAAATTTTGTTTTAAATTTATTTCTAAAAATAAAAACAACAAGATTTATAAATTTAAAATCAGTAATAAAAACTCATTAAATTATTAGAAGTTTCATCCAAAAAGTTTTTAATAAATTAAAAGGAAGCAAAAAAATAACCTAACAAATTCAATTCTTTGTGGGCGCCTAAATTAGATTGCCGATAATTTCCCCATTTAAAAATAAAAAGAATTTTTTTTAAATAAACTTATCTAATTAATGAAGAAACTCTTCTTTATATATTCTTTTCAATAATAGATTGCCTTCAGAACAAGGTAACATCGGCGATCACGAAGTTAGTCCCACTGAAAATAATCTGCAAGAAAAGTCGCGACAAAGAAAAAAAAAAGCTAAGAGGTGCGAAAAGGAATATGCGATATAATGATATGTGTTCTCAAAACTCTGATTCTACAGCTCATCAATCAAGGCTATTTCAACATAACGAAACGAACATCGTCTTCCACAGCGCGAGTCGACATCGGAGCGTAAGAGAAGAGTCTTATATCTTTGCGTGTCTTATATCGCTATATCGTTTTGCGCTCGTTGTCTTTACTAGACGGCTTAAATCAGATTTCTGATGCATCTCCTTGAATGAAAGTAGCTGTATCGTCGTGCCGATATATGCGTTAAATCAATATATCTCTATACATCGATTTATAGCCCTGTCCTAGTGGTGGGTGCAAGCGGAGTTCGACTAATAGACCGCTAGAATCCAAACTCAGTTCCCTTCATTGGAAGGCCCCTGAGTCATCAAGGCACGACTTAAACTACTCAACATACTGGAATAGTATCATCTGTTGAGAAATAACAGAAGTATTTTTTTGCTATCAGTGGATATTTTACCTGCATTAATAAACTTTATGCAAAGTAATCTGTGGAGGTGTAAAACCAGAGCCTGGTTAAGGCAGGGGGGACACCCAAATTGAGTTTATTTTATTATTCCTTCTTTAATGAACTTTTTTTAAAACAAAATATCAGTACTGTGTAAATTAAGTCAGTTTTATACAAGCTTCTTCATTCATCTACCACATGAACACAGTCTATATGTCGTAAATCTATGGCTTTCTTCAGAATTCAGCTAAACTTTTGCAAAGACTATGGACACATTTGGCTCATCAAAAGCCTGTATTTTTACATATCACAAAATACGCTATGTTTACAAAAATGCAGGCTTCTTATTGGCTTGAGCCATCATAATTACGTAAATTTAGCTGAATTCCACCCTAAAGTCAGCAAGGGCACGAATGTATCGCAGTTAGATGAGAAAGTTAACAATCAGAAAACTGCATTCGGCATGATGGGCATAGAATTGTCAGAAAATCAATAAAATGGACAGAACAACATTTCGTCTGCCCATTGGATTGGGAGAAACTTTATAGCTACTTTACTTAAAATGAAGACACCACGACAATCAGCAATGGTGACGCCATGTTCCAACCTCAGGGGGAGGAGGGAGAAAAATATGAAAAATGAAACTCCGTTAAGCGGAGAGCTACATGAATGATCTTTTTCGAATGTCCCGAGCGTCTCTTGCACTCCGATATTTATACTAAAATGCTAGAAGGTAGTAACTAAATTACTGAAAGTTAGTAAAATATCTAAATCTTACAAGTTGAGATGTTATATCTATATATCTTTTTAAAGTGTTATTCTCACCTTCTGATCGAATTTGAAGAGTAAAGTTCATGCATACTTTGAGTCCCTCGTGTAGATGAAAGATGCCGACAAGCAGGTGTTATTCCAAGAAAAACAAGGGTTGGAAGAGAAAGGAATTTATGGGGGAGAGTGTCTCAATTGCAAAAAAGATTAAGGGGCGAGAAGAATTGGATCAGGAAATAAAGGATTTGTATCAGAAAATAATAAAATAAACTAAAGATAAGGATTTTAAAAACAGGAAATTTTAAATCAGATTGTGACTTAATGTCACACATTTTATGTCAAATGATGACATTTTTCAATTACTCTCCGTTTCCCCCCCTCCTATTTAACCAACCCATCACAAATGATATTTTTATAATGTAAATAATTAACGTTTTCATCATCATTATAGTGAGGCAGACAGCCCAATGTGGGCCAATGCCTTCCTCTGAAGATTACGACTTCTTACTTATCTTTGATCTTCAATTCTTTTCATTATTTACAAGAAAATCAGACTCCACCGAATCAGCCCATCTCAACCACAGCCTTTCCTGTTTTCTTGCTCCAGTGGATCTAAAAAGTTATATATTTTTTACTGTATTGTCATCGCTTATTCGAATCACGTGGGCCATCCAAATTCATTTTATATTTTTCTTATGTATTCAATAATATCATGTTGTTTATAAATCTTGCACTGTTCAAAGTCAAATCTCCAGTCATTGTTCTCATTTACACCACCGAGTATACTCCTCAAAAAATCTTTCTCTCAAATATTGGGATAAAATTGTTTCTCATTGTCCCAGCTTCAGAAGCATATGTCAAGACCGGCCTGACAAGAGTTTTCTAAATAAAGAACTTTGTTTTCCTAGAAAGAAACCAAGATTTAATAAATATTCTCAGCCCTATTTGCCAGTTCGTTTTTTATTTCAGGAGACATTCTGTTAACAATATTAATCCTAACTCCTTACTGTTTCAAATCTATTTGAAGATAGGAGACTCTGTTTCTTGAGAATAACATATATTTTTCATTCACTGCATTTATGATTAAGCCGATTAGACTTGCAGCCACTTCAAGGAAATTAACGTTTTAAAACTAGCAAATTCCTGTGCCCATTGTTCAGAAATTCTACTCAAATTTATCAAAAATAAAAAAAAATTGAATTTTTGTTAAGAAAATGGAGAGTTGTTACTGTTTAGGAAGAACACTTTAACCCTCCCCGTACGGCTCTCGCGTTTTGAGTGGGGTATCAGTCTCGTTTACGGGTCACGAGAAAATTGCGGGTGAAGAATCCCCCTCATTTCAATACTGATGCCGCTACTTCTTTAAGTAGATTTTCGTTTCATTCGATGCTTATTTTCACTGTTAGATGGCACTAGAGGGTTCAGGATTTTTTTCTCCTGCTTTTTTCCCCATGAGCATTTGTGAGTTATCATGCTTTTCATTTTCTTTTGTGCGATAAGCATTTATGAAAGATATGCATTTGCAGAGTGTCAGCAGCGTTATATATGGGAATAACAAACCGAAATATCTTGAATATGAAAAGTGATTTGGATTCGGGAGTATTCCATAAATCTGTTTTTTGCTTTATTACAAAATTTCTGTAACATTGTTTGAGATAAAATGTTTAAAAATGATATTCATCAGAAAATAAAAATCTTGCATGAATTTTTTTACTCATAAACCCTGACCACTGAAATAGCAGTTGCCGTATTATACATTTCTTGAAAACGTAAAAGCCATTCAAATTCTCGAATTATTTTAAAACAACTGATGAAGATGTGAATTGTATCATACGTAGATAAAGAAAATATTAAAAAAATCGTCCCGTATTTCAAGATCGGAAAGTATAAAAATTGAGCCGTACGCTAAGGGTTAAGTTACCTTTGACGTTTAAGCAAAGTAGATAAAAAATGTTGCTGGTTACTTAGTATCATGGGTGCCATGCTAAAAAAAATTTCATCACTGAACTTATTTTTTTGACCAATTAACACAATCTAGTGTTGTTTACCAGAATTTTACTTACACTTACTTTAAAACATTCTCAGGTGTAAGTATTGTGCAGTCCACTTCCAGCATTTGTTCCTCTAAGATAAAATGTGACCTCCACAAATTCAATATGTTATTTTTCATTGCACAACCCATTGGTCCAAAATCAAATTGACCAGTAACACCTAAAAATATATATGGAGCATTTCAATAATCAGATTGAAAAATAAAAGAAACAAATAGCATAGTTGGCAACTTGCTAAAATCAAAAATTGGAACACAAAGCATGATAAGCTAATCAAGTGTAATTATGACAAAAAGGTAAAAACAAAATATCAAAATATAAATTTATAAACCATACACATTTCATATTGAACATTATTTTCTGAGCCAACAGTTTTAATTAAATTACTTACTAATGAAGAATATCGCACCTTTATAGTAACTAATTCAAGAAAAAACATACTTCTTTCAAGAATTGCAATATTGGATTTTATAATCACGTGAATACAAAAGCGCAATGTTCTATTTTAAAATGATGCGAATCGCAATGCATAGTTTTTAAATCACATATAAATACAACATATGCGTGTGAAACCTGGGACATATCTTGAACGGACCAGGCTATGTTGGGTACCTTTGAGAGAAAAGTCTTGAGAAGTATTTTTGGAGGATCAAATAGAAGATCAAATCTAAAGCTTTATCACTCCTATAATGAACCCCAGACATTAACTTTATTAGACGGCAAAGAATAAAATGGGCAGGCCACATTATCAGAATAGACGAAGGCCATACCACAAAAAAAGTTTTCAATGCCAGACCAGTTGGCACATGAAAAAGAGGAAGGCCGAATTTGAGAATATTGGATTTCCTCTGGGTTGAAAGAAAATTGGCATCAGGAGTAAAAAGGCACCAGAATACCAAAAAATACTGTGTAATTTTAACCTAAAAAAGTTCCCTGTGTTTTCCCTGTACATATTACACACAATATATTTAGAGTAAACACATTTTTTGTGCTCTTGTGTCCACCTAATTAGGCTAACTGTACTAGTTTTAATTGATGGAAAAACTAAAATATTGCAAAAAATATAAGAAAAAAAAAAAGCTGAACATACTTAAATAATGTAAATGAAATAGTTTACTGGAATATCATCCTCAGATATCCCAGTTTGTAAAGAGAAAAAAAGATTCTCTGTGGCAACCCTGTTAAAGTAACTAAACATAAGGTATTAAAAGTTACCTCCATATATAGCAAATGACTGATCATAAAAAAATCTTCTTTTGAGCAAGTCTTCCATACGGGCTCTATCAAATCCAACATCAGGAGGCGCAACTTCTAATTCCTGAAAGGTAATATAATACAGGGTGTTTATAAAGTCCCAATTTTGATGTTTAATAACTCATAAAATTAATAGCTTAAAATTAATAATAGAAATGGTTAGACAGACTCAAAAAGTTTCATGACCCTTGTCAATGAACTTCTACGTCTGCCCCTTTCGCCGCACGGAGAATATCAAGTCAATAGTCAATTTGACGCCAGGTAGCGGCAAGCATGTCGGCATCCAGAGAGGCTATTGCGTTTGTAATTCTGGCGTTTAGGTCATCAATGTTCGACATGATCCTCCTGTCATGGGTGCAAGTTGGAAAAAAGGCCAAGATTGAAAATTTTCTGACTGAAATATCTAACATACACAATACCCCCTCGACATATGCAAACTATCTAAGAAAGCTTCACCATAATACATCAAGTTTAAATACTGTACAAAAAATATTTATTCATCTGTCTTTTGATAAAATAACAACAGGACATAAGAAAGTAGACCAATAACGTAAACCTAAAAAATATTTTTAAGGACAGAAAAAAAAAAATTCAGATTTCCGTCTTCGAGTCAGTCTTGTTTCCGTCTTACTTCCATCCGCGGACATTTTCGAAAGACGGAAATCCGCCCTGGGGACGGAAGACTTGCACCCATGCCTCCTGTAAACATTGTCCTTTATAAATCCCCAAAGAAAAAAGTCCAGCGGCATTATATCAGGTGATCAGGGTGGCCAAGGAATTGGACCTCCTCATCCAATCCGTCTTCCATGCGATAATTTGAGTTTATAAGGTGGGTGGTACCTTTGCAATTTTACTATATGAACTATTTCTGTATTTTCTTTTTATTAATTTTATAATAAATATCAGAAAATTTTACAAGAATTATTTATGGTCCTTATTTATGTTAGTTTACATTTTATTCAGAACTATTTTGCTAGATTTGGTGATTCATTTAATTTATTATTTATCTTTCATATTAATAGCAAAATATTTGAAAAAATTTTGAATTTCGTTGGGAATTTACTTTTATTATCTTGGATTTGCACAATTCTATCAACATGACTTTAGCAATGTTGGGTCAATAGCCATAATCAGTCTCAAGATTATTAGAAAATTCAAGATTTTCAATTTTGCTATTTAAATGTCTTTTATATTATTACTAGGAGGCTTCGCTCCCTGCTCGCTGGCGCTCGCCAACCCCCAGAACTGCTTTCGCAGTTCATTTCAGATTGCTTCGCAATCCGATGCTCATCTTGCTCGCGCATTGGATACGTACTTAAAGTCTAGCTTTTGTATACTTTTTAGAACACTGAAGTTCCGGAAACTTTAACTGTAGAAAATTCTAAACCTGTGCATTTCAATATTAATTTGAAATTGCAAACAGTTCACATATTTTTCTTAATCACGCTATTCTAAATTTCAGTTGTTGAGAAAAGTAACTGTTGTAAGTTTTGTTTTAAAGTCTTTCCCACCAGAGGGCTAAAACCATGTGTTGTAAAACAATATGAAATAGTACTGAACGCCGGATGTAAAGCATCGGCTTCGATGAAGATAATTTTGTGAGAATTTTTTTGATAATTCGGTGAGAATTCACCCGATTAGACATATGATATGCTCACTACGTGCCCTTGCGCGCCGAAGCCTATCAATTAAAACATATTAGCGTTTTATATAATATAGATTAGCCATATGATGCTCACTACGTGCTCTTGCGCGCCGAAGCGTATCAATTAAAAATGAAAACTGTTGCCAACGCGAGAAAATAAATATCATCGGTTTTATTGATACATACGTATTAGCGCTTTATATAATATAGATTTTTTTTTAATGTCCAAAATTTTCTCTTCTTTAACATTTTCATTACTTTGTTGTTCTTAGAATTAAAACTCTTTCTTTCCTTTTCTTATATTTATTTATACTTTTAAACTCTTTATTGGTATTTTTATTGCAATCATTAACCAGGACTTCAGGAAAAATGTGTAAGGACAAATTGCGATTATAATCAGAAAAAGTGAACAGTCTTCTCAGATTTCGCATTACAACCTGCTAAATTCAATCAATCACTCATTGAAATATAATGCAAGCTTACAAACTGGTTTCAGTTTGGTTAGGGATTTCATTTTGTATCTCATTTTTGTATTTTCTCCTTCCTGGACTTCTTGCTTTAGGGTACAGCGTGAGTAAATTTTAGACATCTTTTGATAGGAAAGGTTTTGTGTTTTTATGACTTCTGGATCCGGTACCCCCGCCCCCTCTCCATGATCATTGTTTTCTTCCTCAAAAAAATTCTATTGGTATGATAGATATAAATGCTTAATATTCAACATCAGATGTGAAAATAAATACCTTGTCTTCCAAAGCTTTTTTCCTAACTTTAAGTTCATTGACAGCTTTTTTAATGTCTAATTCAGGAGCACCATTCTCTTTTAACTTTCTCACTAAATCACCCTGAAAAGAAGAAATGATGCATTGGTAAAACAATAGTGACACAAATTTTAATAGTAACAAATATATATGTCACTAATTGAAAGAGTGACTGCAGAAGTACCTCAAGAATGGGGAATATATACCTCTACTTAACAAAGTCTCTGAATGCTGCCATTAAATAGAAAATCACCTTTTGAAATACCCGTGGCAGAATTGCAGTGACATTGTTGCAGAACGTTACAGATTTTTTACAGAAAGATTTTTCATTTGGGAAGGTAAAAATTTTAATTTTCCTTTCTGCATAATTTCTCGAAAAATGTTTTTTCTATCCTGCATAATTCCTTTTTCAAAGATGTCTTTCTTGTGCATCTGAGAGGAAAGAAATAATCATGATTCTTTTATTTTCATTTGAGACTTTTTTTTAAAAAAAAATCTGTAATGACTGGCTTCAGCTAGAATTTCAAAATAATAATCTAAAATAAAAAAAAAAATCAGAAATTATGAAAGTTTTAAAGATAGTTATGATGTTCCTTCGTTCATTTCTTTTTTAAAGAACTCTATATTTCACATATACTTATTTGAGTATCTTTTTTTTTTTAAAGAGTCCTATTCGAGATATTTATTTTGGGAGTTACCTACTGCACAGATTTTATGTACAAATCTAAATTAATTATTATTTAATTTATTTACGATTTTTAATTTGTGTCATGATTTACAAAATTTGGAAAAAAGAGGAAAAAATATTTGCATTTTTCTGCCTACAAAATGCGAGAATATCACAGATAGTATTAGAATAAAAAAAAAATATTACTTTTACATTTAAAAATTAAAAATTTTTATAAATAAATAGTAGATACTAGTTTACAAGATAAAGGTGTATCAATTGCTATTTTAATTATGTCTAGTGTTTATGTATTTGAAACCTGTAACTGAATTTTTTTTGGGCCTTCTGCAGCAGATTTCCCTAGCACTAATATATTGCTTTAAAGTAATAGAAACATTGTATCTGCAGAAGAAAGAATAGAATAAAAATGTACATTTTTATAATGAATAATGACGAATAATGAATAAACGTGGAATAATCCATTCTGTCCTTAACCTTGCAAACTCCAATAGTCATCTAAGGTAAAGAAAAAAGTAGTAAATAGTCGTATTTTAGTCACCAGTGGAAATCCTTTAAATTAATTTGATTTTAAATAAGTAAAATCCAAAATAATTTTTTTTTTTTTTTTTTTTTGGGGAAAAGAATCAGGATTTCAGACGAACCTGCTCTTGGGCAGATATATTATATATCTTATGTAATAAGATATATATATATATATATTAATATATCCCTTTTCACTGTGACATATGAAACCAAGAATTTTTCATTTGGGCAGGAATAGGAACTTATATTTCCTTTGTGATAGGATGAGTAGCTAGGTGTCTGTCTACGTTTTTCTGAGAGGTACCTATTTTGTGAAAATTTAGGCATAATTCGAGAAAATTAAAATTTATATTAAACATTCTGGTAAAAGTACGGATTTATCGCTTCTTATGGGATAAAAAATTAAAATTTCAAGAAAAATTATTTTATGTAACAAATGTTTTCCCTAAAGTTGAATTAGTGAAGGTACCACTAATTTTCCCCAGACAGACTCCTGGTAACTGACTATTTGGTAGCAGTTTTTACCAAAAAAATGTTAAATCTCACTTGTATCAGAGGTATTCTTTAAATTCAGACCCAAAAAATTATGTTTTTTTTTTTTAATTGTAAATTTAATTACACATACATTGAGTGAAAAATTGAAATTATAGACGGGGATATGTCACCTTCTTTTAGAAAAAGTGAGGGGGCTAGAGCCTCCTCTGGGCCAGTCACCTAAGGAGAAAAAAAAGTAGTAAATAGTGATATTTTATTCGCCAGTGGAAATCTTGTAAATGTGATTTAAATATAAAATTCAATGTAACTATCCAATGTAGAAAAATCATTATTTACCTGCTCTTTGACGGATAACCTGAAAGGTTCAAGTAAGCTTTGTACTTCCATAGTTTTAACAAATTGAATTTTATAGGAAGACAGACGTTTTTTGGCCCAGTTTTTCGGTAATTTACTTGAATGCGTGGATAATAAACTGAGTGACGTGAATGCAAGTGGTTTGAAGAAACTGGATACGTAACGAAAACAGATGCACCTTTCAAACTGTATAATTAGGGTGCTTGAACGTGACACCATTCGTTTACCTTGCCGACGAAAACAACAAAACATGGATAAATAGAATCACGGTTATGACCAAAAATTTTATTTTAACTTAGAGCGTTGTTTCAGTCTTGTTTTTGTTATTCTCAAGACTGGCAAACTGTTCTCGAAGGTCTGGGTCTCTTTCTTCATAGGAATTGGTGTCCCGCAGTGGACTGATCGTTAAGACACGGTTCTCAGCAGATCACCGAAGTCAAGCATCACTGGCTACAGTCAGTGTGCGGGTGGGTGAACACTTGGATCAGTCTGCGTAGGGACCGAGGGTGTGCGGTATTGGTCCTCGTTAAACTGTGCTACCGTAAAGTGCTCGACTTCGCGTGCAGGTCGTTGGGCTACCAAAGCAGGGGTGCCATCCCCTCCGCAGAGGATCAAAATTGTGATGGCATGTCTTCGGATCATCCTCTGGGATGTTTCCCAGACCGTCGCCAATAGCCCATTGTGCAGCTCTAGTGCGACGCAAATTAACAACAACAACAACAACATAGGAATTGGTAACTAATTTTAAACCACATTAAAAAGGTTACCTTTATTAAGGGAGGTACTTCATTAACTTCGCACTAGAGCTGCACAATGGGCTATTAGCAACGATGTGGGAAAGGGCAACGATCTGGGAAATGTCCCTGAGGACGATCCGAAGACATGTCATCACAATTTCGAGCCTCTGCAGAGGGGATGGCTCCCCTGCTTTGGTATCCCAACGACCTACTCGTGAAGTCGAGCCCTTTACAGTAGAACAGTTTAATGAGAACGATACGACGCACCCTCGGTCACTGCGCAAGCTGATCAAAGTTGTCGCCCACTCACACACTGACAGCAGCCAGAGATACTTGACTTCGGTGTTCTACTCAGAGCCTGACTAGGGCAAGGACATACGGGGCAGTTGCCCAGTGACCCACATTATAGGGGGCCCCAAATCGATTAGAAAGTTTATTTTAAGTTTCCTTCATTAATAAACTTTTTTTAAAAATAAAATCGTAAGTTTTATGTTGGCTTCTTCATTAACCTATCGTATGATCACTATCTATATTTCGTAATTCCAAGGCTTTCTAGGGCGGAACTCAGCTAAATTTTCGAAATGACGGTGGACAAATTAGGTCAATCAAAAATCTGTATTTTTACATATCGCCAAAATGCGATATGTTAAAGAAAATACAGGTTTCTGATTGGCTTAATTGAAACATCGTAATTTCGAAAATTTAGCTGAATTCCGCCCTAATGTCAGCAAGGATATGAATTTTTCATAGATAGATGACTAAGTTTACAATCAGAAAACTGCATTCGGAATGATGGACAAGGAATTGTCAGAAAATCAGTAAAATGGACTGAATGATATTTCGTCTGACCTTTGCTCGAGGGGGTTTATAGCTATTTTAGGTTCTAGTCAATTTTCTTGCTATCTATTATGAGGTGAAAAATTTAAATACCACCGTAGTTCGGTTCTTCATTTCTGGAAAAGTGAAGCAGAGGGGCCCCCAAAGAAGTTTTCGTCCTGGGAACCAATTAGGCTAAGTCGGGCCCTGCTTCTACTGGGAACCTCGTCTTTACGATCAGTCCAATACGGGACACTTAATAAAACAAAAACAGTCACTCGCCAACTGGCATACTTTTGTGATGGCACTCGGAACAAGTGCGACATGTTGTGATGCAATTATGTGTTTTTTTTTCATACCTAGAAGATGAATTGCGAAATTATTTTATTCTGATTGATAAACAATAATACAAGTTCATGAGATTTAATTCCATTAATCTTGTTATTTTTTTTAACCTTAGTTATATACAACATCTCAGAGTTCTCCCCTTATTCCTGATGGTTCTCTGTATTATCAACAGATGGCAGTACAAAAAGAGGTGTTTATATCTTCCTCTTGATGATACGAATGCATTGATTTACACTAAAGCCCCTCTATAACAGAAGCTGAACTGCCCGCCATTATGGAGCAAGCAAATACCATACCCACCATACTCATTATATGATAGCTCTCTTGAAGTTACGTCCACCGACCCCCAGAGGGTATGCCACTTCCTCTGTGGTACCGATAAAAGAAAGTGGATTTAAGCAATGATCAAATGACACTTTGAAAATTTGTTAATGTATATAGTGCTATTCAAAATCGACCAGAGAAATAATGAAATATTTCTCACATTTGTGACATTTTACAACAAAGAAGTTTATATTGTATTTTATTTCCCTTCTATTTTTTTTTCTCTCAGATTTTATTATTGACTATTTATCTGTATTATTTATTATAGACAAAATTCTAACCCAACAAGGATGAGCAGGCAGCATTTCCCACGCTAATATTTCCTTTTGGAAGTACTATTGGCTGGTATTCCCTATGCTTTTTTAATAAAATATTTTCAATGACAGCAAAATTATTGCTTCTTGAAAAAATAGATTTATTGAATAAAGGAATTTTTGCTTTTCTTTGGATATCAACTCAATATTATTTATTAAAAAAAATATTTAGATATTTTTTTTTTTGTTGTACAGTTTTCATCGACTAAAGCAGTGTAAGTGGCCGGTGAAGGTTGTGTTTTTTTGCTGGGATTTTTCTAAGTCCAAATTTTAAAAATTTTAGTGGAAATTCATATATTCTTTGAGATATTCTTTTGCCTTGTGATGTTGTAGTGCTGTGTGGTCATTTTGGCGACAGGGTGAGCTATATTTATTGCAATACTGGTGTTTTCACATTTTGTCGACAAGATGGCGACATAAATAAACAGTTTGTTTTGATTGATTCACGTAAGTTTACCAACAAATAACGTGTGCCGATTGATATTGTGTTAATCCTTATGCAGAAAGTTAAATCTAGGATTAATCTAATTACCAAGTGAGTAATTTAATAATTTGCACTGTGTTTTGAGCTTTTCTGGTACTCTTTCTGAACTTGTTTTGAAACTGATGTGTTTGGGGGACCAGCCCCATATTGACTTTTTGATGTTCAATTTGAACTTAGTATTTTTGTATTGAAATTGAGATGCTTGAGGGACCAGTCCCATATTGACATTTTGTGATTTCCTTCGAACTTTTTGGGGTCCTTTTTGGACTTTAACTTTTTCCTGATTTGTTTACTATTTGAACTTCTGTTTTTTTTTTTTTTTTTTTTTTTTTTTTTTTTTTTTTTTNTTTTTTTTTTTTTTTTTTTTTTTTTTTTTTAAATTTTGGATCCCTTGTGGTCTCTAGTTTTTCTGGGTGTTTTTAGTTTAATGATTTTAGGTAAATTTTTTAACTACTCAACAATTGCTTTTACTTATCTTAGCCTTACTCAAAATTATTTTTGGATGATTTTAACCCTACTCTGCCCCTTTGGACTTTTATTTTACTCATTCTTGTGCCTTTTTTAACAATCTTTTAATGGTTTCGATCAATTTTAACTATCTCCTTGACTGATTTGATTGTATTACTGTATTTTATTGACTTTGTCGCAGTTGGTAATTCTTTTTAACTGTTTCCTGATTTTACTTATGCATTTTTACTTGTATTTACCTTGTCTGATTTAAGTTTCGGAACTTGTACACGAGCTGAATTCCAGGTAGAATGCGCATCGGGATAAAACGTATAGCCAACATTAATCATGGGGGAGTGCTAATCCAGACTGACACTGCTGAGGACTTGGAGATACTAAATGATGAGATCAAGCTTCAAAAACTAAATGAGAAATTCACAGTAGAACCACCAAGGTCGAAAAATCCAACCATAATCGTATTTGGAGTTGAAGAAGAAATAGAGGAGCAGGACCTAATCGACTGCTTAACAAGCCAGAATTTCGAATTGGAGGGTGAAGAATTGAAAGTCAGGATCTCACATAGACCGAAGGGTGGTAGGAGAAATTGGATTCTGGAGGTGACACCCACTGCCTTCAACAGATTAAAATACAGACACAAATTGAACATTCGTTGGAGAAGGTATGGCTTTGAAGAGTCACTGAGCGTGAGACAATGCTACAGATGTGGAGCAATTGGTCACCTGGCAAAGTTCTGTAAAGCAAACAGAATTTGTATGAATTGCTCGTCAACGGAACATGCGGGAGGTGAATGCCACGACGATCTGTTCTGTACACATTGGGACAAAGCAAATAAGAAATTTTGACTTGACCTGGATGTGAACCATTCTCCGTTTGATAAGACGTGTGGTCAATATTCAAGAGCGTTTAACAGTTTCTTTATGTTCTTTTGTTTTTATTAGTTATTAACTGTTATTTTGTTTCTACATATACTTCTCTTTCATTTAAACTCACTATACAAAAAGGCATTATCATTTTTACTGTATCATTTCTAAAATTGAGTGGCGCACAAAAATGGTACAGTGTTTGAGAATAACTGGCTTAGAACCTTGAGTTAGGCGTGTTGATAAAGTACATTTTTCTTTTATTTGCTAAACATAATTGCTTTCTTCTTTTTGTTTGTTGAAACTTGAAGAAATATTGCAGAAGCACTGAATGTGTTCAAAGGTTATTCCCGTAATGAACGCTTTTCCAGAATTATTGTGAAAGATGAAGGTCTATTGGGTGTTAAGGGAGATTGGAAAGAACAACAGATTATAGGGGTAACTTGCATAAGTAGTATAATGTAAAAAATAAGTTATTATGTATTTCAAAGGAGCATAATTCTCAAAAGCAAAAAGGAAAATAATGTATATATATATAGCTTGTAGGCAAAATTTAGTACCAAACTTTAAATATAAATCTTTTTTTTTGTCCTTCTTTATTAGTAACTGAGAGATAAAACGAGAATAATTCTAAATATCATTGTTGTTTTTCCTCAATGCAGGTTTCTTAATAATCTTAATTAAAAAGCCTTGATTGTTCAAACATAACTTTTGTTTTAAAATTTTTTGCTTTGTCTGTAGCGTATCTACCACTACAGAAATGCAATTCCAATTTACTAGTATATGAGACACTCGATTCTATGGTGGGGTACCTTTTCATGGATGAAGGTTGACATTGTCAACAACTCCTCTCCCCACAGGTCTATCAAATCAATAGGTAAAATAATTATGAATATGCATATTAATTGAAGGATAAAAGAGTGTAGAATTCACATGTTTTAAGTATTAAGTTTTTTTTTCCATCAAGCAATAGTATATGACGTGGTATATTCTTTATTATGATCTTAGAAACTGTTAAAAAATAGAATTTTTAAATTTCTTTCTTGAGTTTTAAAAAACATTTGTGTGTTCTGTGTACAGGATGTTTGCTCAATCTCCAACTAAATATGAATAACTTTGTCACAAGAGGGTTTAGAGCAACGGCCAATAGGAGGGAAGATTTTTTCAAAAATTCCAAACTCTTGGTCAATGACCTATCCAGCGTCCCTTATCTTTCTCCTGTTAGGAAATCTATGATTAAACCTAACTAACCACCTTTTATATTCCTTGCTTCCTATTCGTCGTCATCCTTTCACCCTTCCCTCCTATTGGCCGTTGCTCTAAACCCTCTTGTGACGTCACCTTTCTCTATATACATTTACTCTGTTTTCTCTCTTTTCTTTCTATTGCACTGATGAAGGTTGCCCCTTGAGCATCCGAAACAGCTGTCTGTATTTTATAAATATTTTTGAGCTCTTTAACGTTGTTTGCCTTAGTTTTGCACTATTTTCCTGTTTTAGGCTACCAAAAGCAACTATTTTGTTCAATTTTTTCTGTGGCAACCCTGTAAGTGGTCGAATAGTCCTGGAAAAATTGAATTTTAAAAATGCAACCTATGGACGTATGCTTCTTACATACTCTAATTTCAGGAATTTTTTCTATCGTGTAAAATTTGTTTTGCATACAATTTTAACCAAATTCATCTTAATTGATTATTTAATAGATTTGTACCGCCTGACCGGAGACCCGATTCGTGAGCAGGAAGCTATACAAACTCACAGCAACTTCTCGCAGCTTCTGCTGAAAGACCACTTCCAGGCATCTCAACTGCCAGAGCACAATTTGATACAGGTATTTTATCAAGCATTTATTGTATCCCAGCAATGGAGTCCCCATGTTTTGTGGTTTTCTTCTTTTTGTGCAGGTTAGTTCCCTCAAAAACAGGGTGGCCACCCACCTGGAAAACCTGGAATTAACAGGGAATTTTTTTATACTGGAAAAACCTGGAAAAATCAGGGAAATTTGGATAAAAACCTGGAAAAATCAAGGAATTTTAAAGAAAAGCTGGAAATCTTTGATAATTTTTTTAATTTCACTAATATTAATTATTTCTTCCATTACACCCACTTTTTTAGACGGAAATGTATCTCGAAACAGTTGAAATATCATCAACTTAGCGATACTTTGCTTGTATCAAAACTTGCTCCATTATAGAACTGTTAAACTAGAATGCCACATAAAATTCTCCGCTATTTTATTTATTTATTTGCCATAGTTGTGAATTGAATAATAAAAGAAAATCCCATCCTTATGCAATTTCTATGAATAAAGAAGAGTAATTTATTTATTTCAGTGGATTGAAGGTGACCCACCTTTGATGCCTATACAGCCACAAGCTCAAACAACTTCATCTCTGCTGTAAAACTGTCTTCTTTGTCACAAGTGTATTGTGTTTTGAAGGTACATAGTGTGTATGTAAGGTAGATTGTGTGTATACACAGTTTTTATTTTTCTCTTGTGTTCTTAATGCATTTCTTTTCTTATAATAACGACAAAACTCAGTTTTGTTTCTTTATTGTACCAAAGTCAGGGTATCCATGCACCTGTAAAGTCATGAATTTTGGCATTGAACAAAATTTGTCATGAAATGTCATGATTTTAACTATTTTTTTAAAAAGAAAATCACAGAAAGTCATGGATTTAGGTCACCGAAGAATTTTATTTTTAAAATGGAATCCTCCCCCAATTCCATGGTGTTCCCAATATCTAAATTTGTAACAAAATCCCCCCTAACAGTCATATTTTATTAAAATATAAAATGTNAAATTTCCTTCATAATTTACTTAACTTCTATTAACATGCATATTATAATTTACTTGATTTCTAGTCATTCTAAAACACATTTTTGTTTAATGTTTTGCGAATTTTAACCTCTAGATTTTCAATTTTTTTAAATCAACGTTTGTGTTCAATATTTTATTGCTAAAAATGTAATTATGTTTATTTTATTTCCTATTCTCTTGTGATTGAAAAATAATAACATTTTTTTTCTCAGTTAAGGCAATTAGTACAAAATATTTGATTATGTTTATTTTATTTCCTATTCTGTTGTGATTGAAAAATAATTAAATTTTTCTTCTCAGTTAAGGCAATCAGTACAAAATATTTAATCTGAAATATTTTAGAACTTTATTGATTTATTGAAAACTCTACTAAAATTTAATAGGAGTTAGTAAATGTAGTCCGACCTCTATTTAACGAAGTCGCTAAATCCCGATAATAAGTTTGTTATATGGAAAACACATTAAATAGAAAAATCACCTTTTAAAAAACTTGAACAACAGAAAACAGGTTTTAAATTCATAAACACTAGACATACTTTAAGTAGCAATGGATGTTCCTTTATCTTGTAAACTAGTATCTACTATTTATTTATTTTACCATACTATTTGGTGCAGCATGTCCTCATTTGGATCTTGTGCCACTAAACCCTGCATTAAATCAATCAATCAATCTACTATTTATTTTATAAATCTTAGCCATAAAAGATATCTGCTTGGAAATCAAGAATGGAGCAAAACATTATTCAGTGTTACACAACCATGCTATAACATTTTCAACTAAAAAAAATCTGAATTTATGTATAAAATTATAGCTGCATTTATTTGCTGAATAAAATTATAAGTAATTTTGAACATGCATTACAACGTGTGTTCTTAAGTTTAATAACTACTGATAGGACCCGTTAATTTTATGT